CGCTCCGACCAGAACCCTCGGAGCAAAGTCGAATTCCAACCTGTGTTCGTCACCGCTTCAGTTACATACATTAGCGCTCCGACCGAAAAGTGCTCTGGAGCGGGTGGAGCGATCGGAGCTTGCCCATCTCTGATTTAAATTGATTTCAATATAATCTTAACTATTTCAATTTTCAAATGTTTCTTTATTTATTTTTAAATATAATATATGAATTAAATGAAATTTTTGTTGAGATAGATTGATTAATATCAATTATATTCAAAAAAAAAACTAAATCAATATATCTTTTATTTTTCTCAATATAAATTAAAATGTCTCTTGTCATTTTTCTCTTAAAAGAAAAAAGATAAAAACCTGATTGAAATAACATCATTCCATTGTGATAAAAGTGCATTTGTAAGTAAACAATCAGGAAGTTCTCTTAAATATTGTTTAAGTGTACTTGCTGGAACATGTGGATCATAATTAAGATCATAAAGTGTTCTTCCTCTATCAATAGCATGTAAATTAAGTTCAGCAACTAATTTTTTTTGTTTTCCTTGTGATGGTGCAATACGAAAAAGACCTTGTTCATTTAAACTATTTTCTAAAAGTCTAATACATATTTCAATAGGATAAGCAATAAGTGTATCATTTCGTTTTAAACAATGTTTAGCAAGATCATAACCAAATGATGGAATTAATTCATCATTTTCTAATTTTTGTTCAATTTCAGGCATTCGTGATGATAAATATTTCGATACATGATTATAAAATGTATTTTCTTCATATAAATATTGATAAAAAAGTTTAATTGTTATTGAATGTTCTTCACTAGCAACTTTATATGTTTCAGCTGCATATATATCACCTGATAATGTTTGAGCTTGTTCACATTCACAACGAATATCTTCTAATTTACGTAAACGTTCATCAAAATTTGGTAATGTTAAACGATCAGATCGTGTTTGAAATCTTTAGAAAAATCAAAAGAATTTCTTCTTTTTTTTATATATAAAATTAATAAACGAACTTTTTCCAATTGGCATCAGCTGCTTCTAATTTTTGTTGAGCTTT